ACACACACACACACACACACACACACACACACACACTAACAGAAACAACAAAGGGATGGAAACAAGGGCACTCCAAAGGGTCTATCAATGGCACCCACAGAAAATCGTGGAAAACAAAAACAGCAACAACAACGATAACAACAATTTTTCACAGCTCACACACTCTTTGATCTGAAGGCAAGCCAAACCATGATCACTTACGTATACACAGTACACAGACATACATATATTATGTAGCCTACACCAAAGAGTCTACATAACAAGAGGGACTACTTCTCTCTTTGGGCCAATTAAAAAAGTGTCCTCAAAATTTGGTGGCGCCCTCTTCGCAAAAGCGCACCCTTAGCGAACAGGGTTACCCTATTTGAGTTTTAAAAATCAAAGTGAAACTAGCAAGTTTTTGAATAAATTTCGGAAGAACGCTTTTTTTTAATGGTTACGCTGACAAAAAACCAGTTCCGGAGGAAAGGGTGATTGTTTTCTTCCTTTAATTTGACTTTAGAATGAAAGGCGAGAGGTCATTAAAATTTAAAAAACCTAAAACTCTACACTGAACGAACCCGAACTGCTGATGAACAGCAGTCGATCTGCGCACGCAAGGAGGTGCTATTCCTATTCTTCTTCTGGAAAAACGAAAGAGAGCTTCAAAACAGACTGCAGCGCCATCTGAACCAAAGAGCGAACTTCCGGCGGACACTTTTTTGGCTGAGTGGCCCATCTTGTTATGTACTATCTTTGCCTACACACGACCCTGATGCAAGTATATGTAGAAACTTTGGAAAAACGATATTGGGGTTGTTATCATTGTTCATGCTTAGTTCTATTACTATTAGTGTTAATATTAATATTGGGCCTACCGTCTTAGAAGTGGTTGGGTTTTGTTTTGGGGTTTTTTGTGGGGTTTTCTTTCTCAAATTTTAGCTGTTTTTAAAGATATATTTTTGGTTGAGTTTTTTGGGGGGTTTTGCTGGGGTTTGTTTTGTTGGGGGTTTTTTTTAGGTTCTTGAAGCTACGGTTTTTATTTGTTACGAGTGTAGGGATTGGTCGTTGTTGTTGCTTTTTTTTGCAAGAAAACATATTATAAGAAAATAATGGAACTTCTCTGGTAATCAATATTTCTTTTCGTCAGTCCAAATATGGCATAACATTCCAAACCTTGAAAACGCTGGAAACGGTTATCTTGTGTGACCCTGGTCTGGTTGCAATGGAAAACATCTGTAGTAAGTATTTTATGTCTCAGTAATTTGTTCACCTGTCTTTTTCAGTTACCTCAGCTTTAGAATATTAGTAAACTGTAGCAATTTTATAGCAGTACGTTAAGGTGGGTTTTTTGTAACACCCTCCGAAGAAAACAAACATTTTCTCCTCTCTAATGTAACCAGTGCAATGTTCACAATCTTTGATGGACTTTACAAGACAGAAGCCTAAATAAATCCCAATCTAATGTGTATTTGACTGACTTGTCATCGTTCAAATGTTTTTATTATTCACTAAATATTGTACTTTGTGCATATAAAAACAGTTCACGAGACAATCAAAAGTGGTCGTTTTCCTGTACCTCTAAAAACATATGTACTATGTATCTCTAAAAACAAACAAAGAAAGATATAAGATAATTTTGTTAACATCTAGCATAAGGCTATTGTAAGAATAAGCATCAATGTGTATTGCTCTTTCGAGTATGCATCTGTCTAATTCTAAAGGTCTGGTAATTAAAGTCCTGCATGTGGTTGAATGATGCATTTGATGTGAAAAGTTGTTATTGTCAGCTTTACTTTTCTTTTTATATTAACTTTTAATGAGAGTAATATATCATTTAATTGTTTATGTATACCTGCATGTGTATCTCTTTTACCCGCATATTTTCTTCTGTATCACGACAGCCCAATGCCCAGCCGGTCACTTCCACAACACAACGTCCAAGGCTTGTGAGAAATGTCCTATAGGACAGTACCAGCCAAAAAAAGGACAAGTGGGCTGTGAAATCTGTCAAGGCGCGGCCACCACACGATACAGGGGAGCAGAGTCTATGGAAGAATGTGTCTGTGAGTACATTGTTGAACCTGCTCTAACGGCCAGCTGTACAAGACAAGCACCTGTACAAACGATCATTTTCCATTTCTTTCTTACGTTTTTTTTTCTATTGCAATGACTCTGTCCGAGACGTCCACCTGTCTAGGAAAATTAATTTTCTCCTCGGCAATGGGTGGCCGTCTTGGACAATATCGACTGTGTATGTGTGTGTGTGTGCGTGTGTGTGTGTGTGTGTGTGTGTGTGTGTGTGTGTGTGTGTGTGTGTGTGCGTGTTTAGTTTGTTTCAACTATTTTCACACAATGTGCAGCATTTAAAAGACGAGATCCCCATATTAAGTTCTAACTCCGATTTTGCGGAGCCGACAGCCTGAAAAACTCAGAGGTAATTTCTACTCGCAGGAGATAACGGCGTTCTTTGTTTTTAGTTAAGAATTGACTGTACACGTAGATGCTTGATTCATGTAAGCAGCAAGTTTGGTTTGGTTTTTTTACTTTGACAATATCATGTACTTTTTGTTTGTGTGTTGTGCGTCTTCCATCTGCACCAGAGAGAGAGAGAGAGAGAGAGAGAGAGAGAGAGAGAGAGAGAGAGAGAGAGAGAGAGAGAGAGAGAGAGAGAGAGAGAGAGAGAGAGAGAGAGAGAGAGAGAGAGTGAGGAGCATTAAGTTTACTTTCCGTTCTCCTCCCTCTGTAAGCCCCTTGCAATGCCAATCCTGACATGTGCCATAACGGGGGGAGATGTCTGTGGACCGAGGCGGACAGTGTCCACGTCTACTGCAGCTGCCTGCCGGGCTACGTAGGGGACCGCTGTCAGCTGAGAAGAGGTGACTAATCCTTTTGGTTTCTTTTATTATTTTGCCATCATTTCTTTGAAAACAAAAAAAGCAAGGGACGGCCAAACCAAAACAACAACAACAACAACAACAACAACAAACTAACAACAACAACAACAAAAACAAACTAACAACAACAACAACAACAAACTAACAACAAAAACAACAACAACAACAACAACAACAAGAATAATACATATTGTGCAGCTGACAGAAAATAAGAAAGATTATTCAAGATCATGTTTCATCGATCCTAACATTAAGAGTAAAAATCACTTGCTAATTATTATTATGTAAGTAAGTTCGATAAAGTACATGTAGCGAAGTCCTTCTAGCTGATGACTAAATTGATCCATATGTTTTTTGCACCGTGCAGTATCTATCAATGTATATGCAGTATCTAATTAAGTACGTAGGCCTACCTACCGACCGACCTACCGACCGACCGACCAACCTACTGACCGACCTACCAGCCTACCTAAAGACCGATTTACCTGCCTACCTACCAATGGACCTACCTACCTACCAACCGACCCACCCACTGACCCACCGACTGACCCACCGACCGACCGACCGACCGACCGACCGACCTACCTACCTACCTACCTATCTACCTACCTACCTACATTACATGCACTTAACCACCTTCTAACCTTTCTACCAACCAACTTACCATCCTGCGTACCCACCTCTATCTATGGCCAAAGATTTAGTCCCTTCTCCTGTGTGACCACTAGTAATACCAGAATAAATTATTGACAGCCATATACGTGATATTGCAGAACATTACACGGATATCGGCACCGTCATTGGTGCTTCGATTGGAGCTGTGGTCAGCTTCCTCTTGTTGGTGCTCATCGCTGTGGCTTGCATCGCTTGTATCAGGTATGAACTTATCACATTTATCAACATCGTTACATTTTAAAAGGCTCCAATACAAAAGCACACTACATTCATACTGGTATATTTATCCAGTTAAAAACTCCTGACTCCGAAAGGATGAGTTGCACGACTGAGTTATGCTAATACTGTTTAAACAGGCTTAGCTCAGAATCGGATTTGAACCTCAGACGCTGGCTTTGTAATGAAATCTAGCAGTAAACTTAGACAAAGACTTTTCCATGGAGACCCAACTTAACCATCTATGTAAAATTTCATACTTAGAAATGAGAAGAATTGCTCACATAAGGAAATTTCTTAGCACTGATGCCATCAAAAAAACTAGTGTTTGCCTTCATATTGTCACGCATTGATTATTGCAATTCACTGTTCGCTGGCCTACCCGAAGAAAAAATTGCAAAACTCCAACGCATTCAAAACAATGCTGCCAGGCTAGTATTAAAGCAATCAAAACGCCATCATGTGACTCCCCTACTTAAAGAGTTCCATTGGCTTCCACTGAAAGCGAGAATAGAATATAAGTTAGCCCTACTATGCTTCAAAGGTCAAATTAACCAGTCCCGCACATACATTCAAGAACTCGTACCATACACACCATCACGTGAACTAAGATCCAGTGGCGCTAGACTAATTTCAATACCTCGTGCGTCACTGAAGAAATATGGTGGGAGAGCTTTTTCTTTTTCTGGGCCAACAGTTTGGAACACTCTCTCTCATACTTTGAGGAGCGAAATAATAATAATAATAATAATAATAATAATAATAATAATAATAATAATAATAATAATAATAATAATAATAATAATAATAATATATAACATTTATATAGCGCATTTCCAAAAAAGTAGCCCAATGCGATTTACATTGGAATACCCATTTTTCAAAAACCGTTCTTACTACTTCCTTTCTTCTCATGCAATATACATTAATGCACACACACACACACACACACACACACACACACACACACACACACACACACACACACAGAGAGAGAGAGAGAGAGAGAGAGAGAGAGAGAGAGAGTGAGAGAGAGAGAGAGAGAGAGAGAGTGAGAGAGTGAGAGAGAGAGAGAGAGAGAGAGAGAGAGAGAGAGAGAGAGAGAGAGAGAGAGAGAGAGAGAGAGAGAGAGAGACTATTTTCATCCAGACATAGGAACAGAACAAATATAATGAAAGATAACGTTAAAAGCTTATGAAGGATAGGCCTGTAGGAACAGACAATGTTTAATATGTCTTTTGAAGCTATCAAGTGTTCTTATTTGTCTTAGTTTCATGGGTAATCTGTTCCACATAAATGGACCAAGATATGAGAAAGATCTCTCTCCATATGATTAGTATGATTTTACAGGTGTCACAAGTAGGGTGTTATCGTTTGATGATCTTAGGTTTCTCCCTGGTTTATATATACTGATAAGTTCTTGTAGATAAAAAGGAGCAGTTTTATAAAATAAAACTTGATACCTTCAAAATGGGACTCAAAACCCATCTATTTAAGTGAAATATTTTAATTAATGGACAGTAGCTTTGCCTTTTTGTATGAGCATTTTTTAATTATTTTTTTTGTCTGAAAGAATGTTGCTGTCAAAAAGTGCGCACATGATGAATTTGTATGGTGTTACTGTTAGTACGAGAATGCGTTTTTATTCTCCTATGTACGCCTTGGGCCCATGCTGTGGGGAAAGGCGGGATATAAATGCTCTTATTATTATTATTATTATTATTATTATTATTATTATTATTATTATTATTATTATTATTATTAAATATTCTCTTGAGTGAGCCACGCCCGTGGACAGACTAAGTCTGCAATAAGATGTGTGCAAGGTAGAATCTATTGTCATGTTTTGTTTCTAAGTCTGCAATAAGATGTGTGCAAGGTAGAATCTATTGTCATGTTTTGTTTCCACATGATGTCATCAATATCCCAGTTTGTCTATAGTGTATGCGCAAGTTACTCACTCTGGCTTCTATACACACACACAGTGTGTGCATGTGTATGTGTGTGTGTGTGTGTGTGTGTGTGTGTGTGTGTGTGTGTGTGTGTGTGTGTGTGTGTGTGTGCTATTTAAAGAGACATTTTACATATCATTTCCATAAACGTAGATACAACGAATTCAAACGTCAGGCAGTAAGAAAAAGAGCTCGTGAATCTTCGCGATTTGCGTACCCGTACCTGCAGGTCCCGTGGATGGGAATGACGTCAGCCTCCCCCAGGTAAAGTAAACGGAAAACTGAATGTAGTCATAATGAGGTATTGGTCACAATGCCTACCTTTTTGTCTAAGTTATCGGGGGAGGGGGTGGATCGTGTTTGTTTGTTGTTGTTTTTGTTTATATATATATATATATATATATATATATATATATATATATATATATATATATATATATATATATATATATATCGCCAACACCCCCACCCCCTCTTTTTTTTTATCTTAAATTTATGACTCTGTCAAATTGCAGTCAGGGAGCCTTCTTGTGTTATTTATTCGTATCATGTTTAATTAATTAGTACATGTAGTAGCATTTTGAAGACACGCGGGTATACCTATAATTCACTTTGGCCTAACGTCAGCACCATGACCTATCATCACTGTTGAACAATCATCACCGTTGAACAATCAACGTAAGAATAATACGAAGTACCGCTTGAGGCACTCGGGATAAAATACATTGTATTAGTATCATCAAACCTCTTCATTCTTGTTTGGACATAAACACTCGCATGTATTTCACAAAACAGGTTCTCTGCCCTGTTTTCTACTGGTCTTCAGCGGAAATGTTAGAAGATGTGATTACAGCTGATGCAGCTGTTTATTCTCAAATAACCATGAAAGATATTATAGACAGAGCTGTTAAAGTACTTTTTAAAAAGTACTTAAGTACACATTTAAGTACAATCTAAAAAATGTACTTAAGTACAGTAAAAGTACTTTCCTATAAAAATTACTTGAGTACAAGTACTTTTTAAAAAAGTACTTACGAGTACATTTTGAGTACTTTCTGCTAATATGCTAAAACACTTCAGCGCTTATGCAAAACATCATATTTTATAATTTATCCAGTATATTTGACAAATTAGGCTATTTATTACTAAAAATGTAAACAGTATACAAAGCATTTGAATATACAATGTACGCACTGAACGGTGGAAATGGTCCGTGAAGTTGAACAAAAAACAACCCAAACGAACAGACGCAACTAGTGGGTAAGTGCTATTATGAATAGAACTTGTTTGCGCAAGACACTGTGATCAAATGTAAGTCAGTCCTAGAGGTTGGAAAGTTCTACAGAAAGAGTATCCAAATTGAAAAATGTAGATACAAAGTTGCTCTTAAGAAAACATAAAATTGATGAAAATGGCCCGCATAGAAATGGAAAAGTGCATTGAATTCTTCATTAACAAATCCTCAAGGAATCAATGTAGCCTCAAGCAAAAACCACCCAAAAAAAGTTTAAAAGAAATTTAGGCAGCCTAAAAATTGTTAGATACACATTGAGAACACAGTAGTTTCCTAGAGTCCAGTAAGTGTAGTGTAACCAAAGATTCTCTACTGCAGTAGTCTCCGCCTAAGATCCCAGTGCTCGGAAGCAAGGAAAATATGGGATCTTAGCCAATGAAGCCAAGGAAGAATCTACAGTGACCCATGAACTGACGTGACCCCTGGGTGGATTTATGACATATGGCAAGCAAAGAGTGGTCAACCTTGATTACCAATCACAGTGGCATGAGGCATGCCATAAATAATATTACACACTCATTAGCCTATCGTGAGTCTTGAGATCTTTATCTACGTTTATCCAGTTGCCCCTCCCCTTTACCTGTCCAACAATTTTAGCTTTCCATCTCTGATTGAGTCCCCCCCCCCCCCCCCCCAACCTCCTTTGTCGTTACGCACCATTACGATGTGACCACACTAATTAAAATTCAGGTTGTCTCGCAAATTCGGGAAAAACTGCTTTCAATGGTCAGGGAAGAGTTTACAGTTTGATGTGATCCCGCCTGGAGCGAACTTGTAGGCCCTACCCACCCAGGGAGTGATGTAGGTTTAGGTGGTGAGGTCAGATGCAAGTGCGATGTTTGGGGAAAAGAAACGCATCGGTCAGTTCACACCTTGGTGTGATCCCGTCTGGAGCAAACACTGTACCGTTTCAAGGAGTTTTACAACGCTTGTGATCACATTCACGATAGTGGCTGATCTTTGAGGCGACGGGCCGTTCTTTGATCTCAACTTTTAACTCTTGGCAGTTGATCGGGTTTTTGTTCCGTAAATTATGATCAGAAATGCCTGCACTTACCCTTTCATTAAGCTACCAAAGTACTCAAAATGTACTTAAAAAGTACTCAAAAGTACTCAAAAGTACTTTTATAAAAAGTATCGGAGTACAGTAAAAGTACTGGTTTCAAAAATGTACCCGAGTACAGTAAAAGTACCGAAAATTGTAACGTAAGTACAAGTACCGGAGTACTTGTACTCCGTTACTACCAGCTCTGATTATAGATTTGTATAAATCTCTCTTGAAAATTTTATCTTATCGGTTCAAACGTAGAGATGGAAACGTCTTATTAGCATTGAAGTGGTTAATGTTATCATTAAGCGCAATCCTACAAGTACACGGTAAATCTGGGTATTTCAAAACTTGGATTATTTAATTAATGAACACATTAAAATAGTATTATATTCAGTGGTAGACGTATGGCCTATTATTCTTTATTGTTTGTTTGTTTGTTTGTCTATGTATTTGTTTGAGTGGGTGGTTTGCGGGTGCTCTGGTGTAGTTTGCCCATTCTTTCCTATCAAACATCTGTCATCTTTATCTCCCTTCCTTCTTTTCTTATGTAGCATGTTACTCTCTAATAACACCTCTAATCTTCGACATTTATATGAATTACTTGTGATGCAAATGCCATAAAACTCGCACTAAAACTAAACTAAAACGTGTTCATTTGACTAAGCATAATATAGATACAATAATGTCATTGCATTTTCTTTTAAGGTTTGGAGAAAGCAAGTCAGGTAGTAATGATATCGGGATGGTAAGGAAAAGGCAATTGTACATAATAATAATAATAATATAGTATGTATGCTCGTGTAATAAACATACTAGTACAAATGTACATACTACGTGTACTGACTTTTTACCGCTCACCTCTCCACAGGGGCGTGAGACTGGTGGATTACGTGGATTACTTCACATGGCACCAGGAGGCTCAGGGTAGGCATGTGGCGCCACCTGTCTATCAGCCCAGAAAACCCGCCAGGAAAACGTCACCTTCAAACAGTTCACGACCTTTTTTTTCTCAAGATTCGAAACAAATATTTAAGTACCGAACTCCTCTTTCTTCCCATATTCCCCAGGTAACAACAATATCATCTAATATGGCGGCCACTGGTTCTGGGGATTTGAGCTCAGACAGTGGGAAGTCTGGCACTGAGCTCATTTACTAAATTATCATACATGCACACACACACACACACACACACACACACACACACACACACACACACACACAACCATAATAAAAGAATTCAATGAATCGACGGACACAGAAACACAAACATTTTCTCGGTTTTTTTTTAGATAAACTTCCATGTAAAAATCTTCAAAAATAGAACTCGAAGAAGGTTACCGTTTTCTTAAAGAAAACGTTGTGGCCATTATATCCGTTCTTTCGAAGGATGTCGGTGTTCCATTCCAGATTACTCGGGGAGTTTATGATTATGCGGTTCAGTTAGGAGGGGGAAAAAGAAGAAATGAAGTACAACACAAGATTCTTAACTAAAAATATTGCAAAACCAAATGGCGGCCCTTATGTATAGGAGTGTTTTTCATAAAAAAGGGGTGGGTGGATGGGTGGAGTTTGGGGTGGGGGTCTTCATAGACAAGTGGGTTTGGTTATAATTGGTTCGGGTTGTTTTTGTTTTGTTTTTTGTTGTTGTTTTTTTCTTTGTAAGTTTTTTGTGTGTTTGTTTTTTTGTTGTTTTTTTTTGGGGGGGTGCAGCTGTTCCTGTGTGTGTGACAGTCATCTGCAAAGTCAAGATCGTCCAACTGTGTCCATAAGTTCCAGTGTATGCCGTTTCTGTGTCCTCTGGTGGTTTCCTTCATCACCCAGTCGATTGCCAAGATAAAGAGGACAGCTGATAGTAAACATCCCTGTCTCACACTGGTCTTGATGTCAAAGCTGTCACTACTGTCAGTGAGCTGGCCATTATGTATAATCCTGCAACTTGTCCCTTCGTACATGCTCCGTATGAGGTTAACCAACCTCTGTGCTGTGGGATTCCGTGATGTCTCATTATCTTCCACAGTATAAAAATACATATATTCTATATCGGTATTGGATACTAAGTGGCATGTGGTATTTATTCTCAGTGTGTCACCGTGCAGTTATGTTCTCATTATTCAAACAATGCAGTTTTTGCATCGTCTCCATTTTAACTCTTGTGTTAAATGTCTAGCAATGCTGATTTCACAATTTAATAAAGAAACTTCCGTTGTGAATGTTTCACTTTTTATTACATGTATGTAGGCCTACTATCGCAGGCAAAGTACGAGGCCTGTCTAAAAACTAAGTTGGAAATGAAATGGTCATTAGGGGAAAAGGGTAGGACACACGCCTCGTTGTACAATAAATGTAAACGGTGTGCAAAATGCAGTCCACACTACATTTGTACTCACTTGAGTCACTACATAATAAATACAGTAGGCCTATATCGAAATGCCGAAATGTGTAACACAGCAGTTGCACCATACTACGTGTGGCTCTATGAACTCGATCTATATACTCTATGGCATCACTTCAAATCTGATGACTCTCATAGGGGATTGTAAAGCCGTAGCCTAATTTGTAATTGTAAATAATACTGTTTTATGGTCCAATCAGCACAAGCTAGATCACTTATGAGACGGTCTGGTTTGACCCTGCCAATCGAGACCGACCTGGGTTTTTAATTATGAGGGACAAAACGTCAAAGCAAACAGATGAACATACTTGATTGGAAAAAAAATTATCTGCTTGGAAATCGAGCTCACGTTTTCTGCGTGTGACGTGATGAAATGCTACTCCACAGACGCCGGTGAACGTAAATCGCGTGGAATTATAACCAAGCACATTAAGTCTATTGCATGTACTATTCATGAAAATAACGGCATAATAATATAATATATGCTTTATAATATGTTACTGTTCTTTAAATGCTGTTTTATATTTAATTAGGGCAAACTACCCTAGGAGTGGAGCAACCAAACCTTTCACTATGTACCTTCAAAAGAAAGCAGAAGAGAGAAGAAAAAAAATAACAGTACCGTCCCTTGCATTGACTTATATAACCCTCTTCCCTTTTTATTTCCACTTTTATTGAAGCTGGCACTGGCAGGAACATTTTAAAATGTTTCTTTGTTAGCTAAGTGTTTTATGGCGCTCGCAACTGCATAAAAATAAGGACATACGAGAACGCGGGACACACTAAACAATTTTTTAGTTTGGTAGGAATTGATTTCGAATTTTGCCGTGGTGGCGCCCTAAACCTACTCAATCGATTTTGGACCACCAAGGGAACTCTAACATGCGCAACTTGCTCACGGCCGAAATTTTTTCGCCCTTATCCCACAAAGGTAGCTATTAGATTTTACCTACCCTAAGATCAGGGGTGTAGTAGAAAGAGCCAAGGAGTAGCAGTAAAAAGGCTTCAGAAAGAACCACGAACCCAGAGGGTGGGGCAGAAAGTGTAGTCGAAAGCAGACGACGGACCATGGTTAGAGCAGGAAGGGAGGCGAAAGAAAAAGTTTTTTTAAAGAAATGTTCAATCGCTGTCAGGTTTCGAACCCGGGACCTCTATTGAATGAGAGGCGAACACCATAACCTCTAGAGCATGAGAGACACCCAACAACAACAAAAAAAAAGTTTGTTGAAAAACATGGTTTATGAGATTTATAGGTAAGTTGTTCAAGCTGTCTGGCCCCGCGGAAAATTGCATTTTTGAAATAGAAAAATTGCAAAAAATTGCAAGTCAAACCGCCTAAAAATTGCAAACCTTCCCATCCCAGACGCATTAATACGGGCTTAACATTTTTAGTTTAAAAAACATGACAATTTTGAGTACCGGTAGCATAAAAGCAGCTCAGCCTTTTAAAAAATCATGACAAACAATACAAATTCATCAAAAGTTATTAACAACATTTACTAGTAACAACACACGAATACGTTAACAATAAACTCGCACAAAAAAATCAAAGAACAAAAATTCAAAGAAAGATAATTGAAGAACAGTTTAATCGAATTTATTCATTTTTTCACAAAAGATGCTTTCGACTCTCTAGATTAAGGGTGTACAATTTCAGATTTCAACAACAACGAGAAGTTCATGTAAAAGAGTTTAAGTCGCACTGGTCGGATTTCAAAAGTCTGAACAACCATAGTTCTTCATGGACATTGTCAATAGTGGATGTAGCCTCTCCGTTTGATCAAACACTCGGCACAGCGTTGACGCATGGACAGGATATGCTTTCAGAGAACTTGTTGGGGTAGGTTCTGCACTCCTGGACGAGGTAGCCCAAGAGTTGATGAAGGTTTTGTGCAGGAGGGTGGTTGTTCCTTATCCATCTGTCAATATGATCCCAAAGGTTCTCTATTGGGTTCAAATCCGGACTACAAGTTGGTCAGTCCATGCAAGTGACACCTGCTGCTGCAGGAAGTCCCCCACGATGCTTGCACGATGTGGCGTGGCGTTGTCGTCCTGCAGTACAGCCTGGGGTCCAATCTGCTGCAGGAGAGGAACAGCAAGGGGACTCAGGATTTTTCCCCCTTTACCTTGCCGCGGTCAAATTGCCCTGTGTGTGGTAAAAGGGGGGGGGGTCTTGTGGTGAGCTGAGAAGCCTCCATACACCAGAACGGACCCTCCGCCGTAGGGCGCCACCTGATGGATGCACTCAGGGTGGAACAGCTCTCCTCGGCGCCTCCAGACGTGGGCTCGCCTGTCTGGGTGCAGCAGGTTGAATCTGGATTCGTCCGAGAAGACGTCCCACTGACATTGTGTCGACTGTGAATGGAGAGCAGGCCACGCCGGGCGAGCTGCTTTGTGGGGTAGCGTGTGCCTTGGGTGCCTGACAGGGACACGAGAAGCTGACCTGGCTCTACGGTAACGGTTCCTTACCGTCTCCTCGCTCTCGTGGACATTGGCTGTCACCCGTAGTTGGTCCCTGATGTCGTTTGCAGTGGTGGTTCGTGACGTCACGGCCTGTTTGACGATGAACCGGTCGATGCTGTTGTTGGTCAAATGGGGCGGTCCTGGTCGAGGCCTTTCCTGGACCCTTCTGGTCGCTCACCATCGTTCTTGCAGCCTCTATATGACTGAGGGAGACACCCCAAGTCGATGTGTAACAACTGGGAACGTGGAGCCATCTTGGAGCCAGGCAACGGCTCATCCTCTGTTGACGTCAGGCAGCGAGCGTTGTTCGGCCATCGTGTTGTAATGAAACATGGCTGAAAAACGCTGGCTTTTAAAGGGTTGTAAGTGAGCAATATTCACAGCTAAGACATCTGTTTAGCACGTGCCAAGCTTAGTCTTAGCTAACAGTCCCTATGCCAAAGTTGCTGAGTCAGAAAAATTTAGCAAATTTTTCCTTCTTTTCGACTGTGTTTCAGAATGCCTTGCGCCGTTTCTATGATGCTGGTGCTTGCAAATTTGCCGTAGAGGCAAACTGTGTCTAGTCATCAGTGCGTGTGCCAAGTTTGGTTGACTGATCTTAACGAATTTGTGAGTTATTGAGGTTTGAATTTGACAGGTGAAAACACAAGCTGTTCCTTGACTTTTTGGGGCGAGTTTATAATATGATAACGCGTGACACAAAATAACGGAACCCTCAGTTTTCGTAATAACTTTTAAATGAAGGCATAAAATTTGACCAAATTTAGTACATACCGGGTAGGCCTACTTGGTTCAAGCAAAAATCTAGAAGTGTATGAGGTTTAGTCTATAAAAAAACAAAAAAATTGACGAGAGATTTTCGAAACAACCTATAAATACAAAATAAGCTTATGCTCCAATCAAATCAGATCCTGTTCTATTTTTCTTTTGAAACCTTCGATACACCGGTAATCTGTTTTTGGATCTATTTCGGATATTTTCTGTTTTATAACCGGCATGGTATTGTTTTAGCTAACACTTAGTCAAATCGTAAAATACAGCAAATTTTTTTTCTCCATTTATAAACAATAGTAATACATGTGGTAATGTAGATCTAGATCATTTCTATAGCACCCACTCCCGTGTGAACGCAGCTTAAAGCCCCATTTAGACGTACAGTTCGCTGGTCGACAAACTGTAGGAAATCGAGAGGATGGCCGGCATCCTGTCCTGTCAATTTCACGTGGAAACTGAGCAATTCTCTCGATAGGCCCTATTGAAGGGTTCTCCGTCCAACCACCAGATATCTGGCGACGCCAGATAGGCCTATTTGCCGGCCGGCGAACTGAAGGAGTGATGACGAGGGAGCGGCTTCTTTGATGTTACCCCAAGCGTAGTTGAAAATACATTCCAAAAATTTCCTAAATATTCGCCAAGTCAAAAAAATAATAAGATTTTCGTGATCAGCAACCCAAAATTAGTAATATTCACGCGTGGAACGCAATTTAATACTGGATTACCAAGTTAAATTACTTTTGTGTGTTTTCTTTTGTTTACCATATTCGTCCGCCCCTTCATTTTTGAAAGTAAAGGCAAAAATGTGCCACTTGGTGTGTAGTATACCGCCGAGATGTGTTGGAGTCAGCTGAGGGCTACACACACGGCTTACTAGAACACCATTGTTTCATCTAGCTAGACGATGCTGTTTATTTTATTTTTTGGCAGGCGCTATTTGCAACACCGCGTTCTGAAATAGCTCCCGTGCTATTTGTAACGCCGCGTTCTGAATGAATAGCTCCCGTGCTATTTGAAACGCCAGTACTAGATCTAGATCTAGATGGAGTAGCCATCGTTTCTACATGATAATATAATATTGTAGTTCTGCCTGAATTGAGTGGAAGCTTTCTCAGTTTTTTTATAACCCTCCTAGGATTTGACTCCTTTTGTTATGACGTTGTCTTATTCCGATCAATATTGGGTAGATCTAGATCTAGATTTCTACATCTACATCTAGATCTAGATCTACATTAGATCTAACAATTGTTTCTGACGTTTGCACAAAAGTAGACTAGACGTAGTCTTGTTCTTCTCTCATAATCATTTGAGTTTGAGCAAGTTTAAGTCGAAAGACGCTTGGATACAATAACAAGACAGTGCAACTCGAACTTACTGTCTACGTGTTCAGCGCTTCCAAGCGTGGCATCGAATCGAATCCCGGTCCCGGAAGATTTTTTTTTTCTTCTCCTGAGCCTAAAATTATTTTTTTTAATTTGATGCGCAAAGAGCGAGAGATATCAGACCTAACAGCAAAACATCAAATTAGGATAAAGTGCCCCCTCCCCCCTTGAAACCCCCTCCACATTCTTATTAGAATTCTAG